GGAGACTTGGAGGAGTTTACTGGCTCCTGGCTTCGGATCAGCACAGCACTTGCCGTTGCTCACTTGGGGAGTGAATCATCGGACAGAGGGCCTTTCCCTCTCTCCCCTCCTCTCTGTGTTCTGAGTTTCAATAAAAATAAATAAATCTTTTAAAAAAAATACAAGATGTAAGAAAGTGTGAAAGATAGCATAAGGCAGAATTTAACCTAGTGCATAATTGAGTACTTACCACTCCTTTTTTGCAAATTCCAAATTGATATATTACTACAAAGAGTGCCCTCCTAAAAATAAACATGCAGGAGGAATTTAATCCTAATTTATGTCACAAAGAATATCTGTTCAATAGGATATTCAAGCTAATAGTCCATCATATAGAGCTTACTGTCTGTAAGGCATCAAACAATGCCTTTTATGTGTATGTGCATTTAATCTTCACAACCTCATGAGTCCCATGTGTGATTCTCATACTTGATAAGGAAACTGATTTAGTGTAACTAAGCCATTTGCTTATGGCAATGTTAGTAAAGGACGGTAAAACCAGAAATGAAACTAGGAGGTCTGATTATAAACTCAATGAATATTGTAAGGAAAAAGTCACACTTGAACATAGGACTTTTTTGTTGTGGATATTGTCAAATTCTTGTAGAGATCCTCTGGCTTTGGCCAATGGCCTTCTATAATTAGTCATTTTTTAAATACCTACCAGGGAGCGCTAAAGTGGATGTTCCATAGTATCTTACGGATGCCAGAAAGGCGGAAGGGGCAAAAGCAAGGCATTGGCCATTGTCTTAAAGCTGGGTTGGGGGTACATATACTGCCTCTTGCCCAGGCCAAGCACCACATACTTACCATTATAACTAGCCAGAGGTCTGTTTGACATAGAGTGTTAGTCTTTCATGCTTCCTCCTACTGGGGTATGATCATTTGAAACTAACATTGCTAAGGGAAAGTCACAAAATGGTAATCATAGTTGTCTATTCCCAGCTACCAGGGAGTCTTGGTGCCTGGATACAGAAAAGAAAGCCTAAATTTTGGCCCCAAGTCTTTCCCCTACCTCCTTTTAGCTGTGATGCCTTGGGCAGATCGTCTGGGTCCTACCTGCCCAAGCAGATGGGAGGAAAATGAAAGTAGAAGAGAGTCCCCAAATTCCCACCAGGTGCCTGACACAGTACAGATCCTGCTACGGAACACTTATAATAATATGACTGCACTTTAAAAAAAAAGATTTTTAAATTTTTATTAGAAAGGAAGGTTTACAAAGAAAAGGAGAGTCAGATTTTTCCATCCACTGGTTCCCTTCCCAAGTGGCTGTAATGGCCAGAGCTGAGCCAGTCCGAAGCCAGAAGCCAGAAGCCAGGAGCAGCTTCTGGGTCTCCCACAGGATTATAGGGTCCCTATACTGTTTTCCTAGGCCACAACCAAGAAGCTGAAAGGGAAATGGAGCAATTGGGACAAAACCGACACCCATATGGGATCCTGACATGTACAAGGTGAGGATTTAGCCATTGAGCCAATGTACAGCGTCCTGCTTATTTATTTTGTAATGAACTGATCTCTCTATACAGCTTAGTAGGTGGTAGGGCTGGTGTTTAAATTGCATTGTCTACAACAAACCAATCAGGTACTCATAAAGCATGGGCTAAAGGTGTGGCACGAGGTAAACCAGTTTCAAGTAGACCAAGTATGCAATGAAGAGCAGAAACAAGAGTTTAGAACTAGGGAAAGCAAGAGGTGGGACAGCTTGTGGACAGTCTAGAAGGATCCAGCAACTTCTGTGAATCTGCTCCATGTGTTCTAAACTTACCTCATCTGTAGACACTGAGCAGAATGTGAGCGTAAGGGTCGGGTGGGTCGACTGACACAGCTGTGATGCTCAGAGCGCCCTACCTGCTGGTGAACTTTTAAGAATCCAGTGCCAGGGGCCCGGCGCGGTGGTGCAGTGGTTAAGGTCCTCGCCTTGCACGCCCGGGATCCCATATGGGCGCCGGTTCTAATCCCGGCGGCCCCGCTTCCCATCCAGCTCCCCGCCTGTGGCCTGGGAAAGCAGTTGAGGATGGCCCAAAGCTTTGGGACCCTGCGCCCGCGCGGGAGACCCAGAAGAGGCTCCTGGCTTCGGATCGGCATAGCATTGACCGTTGTGCTCACTTGGGGAGTGAATTATCGGACGGAAGATCTTCCTCTCTGTCTCTCCTCTCTGTATACCTGCCTTTCCAATAAAAATAAAAATAAATCTTAAAAAAAAAAAAAAAAAAAGAATCCAGTGCCAGGAGCAATGAAAAGTTAGTGTACCCCGGGGAGTTTAACTCTCTTGGAAAGGAAGGGCCTTGGATCTGGCAGTGTATGCAGAGCTCCAAAACAGATTTTGAGGTTGGTAAGTGCTAGAGGCCTTTAACTAGAGACTGCCAGGCTGGAGTCTCCTATTTGCCGAGTGGGTGAGCTCAGCAGTGCTTAACTTACCCAAGTCTATTTCTTCATCTGCGAGGTGGGAACCATAAGGTAAGGGTCATTCTGAGGACTCAGCCAGCTAATCTGCATGAAGTGCTTGGCACAGTCCCCAGGACATAGTAAGCACTCAGTAAATATTAGCTTTTACTGTTAGCCCAAGGTCCATGGTCTTAATGCCTGGGCAAAAAAAAAAAAAAAAAAAGCACATTTCTCCTTGCAGACAGCCGAGTATATTGGCTGACCTCATGATGCAGCTGCTATGGACTTTGCCCTGCCCTGCACTCCCCACCTGTTTTCTTTGCTTCCTTATATTTCTGTACCAATCAGGAGTGACTTTTGGATGCCTTCTTGTGCCCAGTCTTCAGGTGAGAAAAAGAGATATAGCGGTATTGTGGCTGTTAGACTCAGGCTTAGCTCAAATGCCAGTCCTACCATTTTTAATGCGCTCCCTCATGTTTCAGAACTTTAAGTTATTCATCTGTGAAATGGCAGTAGTGAAAGCTGCTTCGCATGCTAATTATGAAGATAACATCTGTAATCCTCCTGGAGTTGTCCAAATGGGTGGCAGGCCTCCCCTCCTGAGGACACTGCACCCGAGGGCATTCCTGGGACCCAGGCTGCTTCAAAGATACCACCCCGCTCAGCTACTGGCAGAAAATAGCCCATCACTTCTCCCTACAACTGCCATCCACGCTCCCCCCTGGCCTTAGCTTATCCTCACCCCCAAATCCTGGCATCAGCTTCCCAGTCTGCTGCCACACATGCACCCAAGGGCTCTGTGGACTCATTGGATAGCATACCACTTTGTTGTCAAACAAAAGCCAGTATATGTCACTGTTGGGACCTTGGGGAGGCAGATCCCATCACTGCCAACTGCCAGACGTGTTCTGTCTCTTTCATCTTCTCTAGGAGTCAGCTAATCCCTGTTCAGGCCTCCACCCAGCAGGCTGCTGCTGGGTCCCTGTGGAAGCCAGAACGGCAAACCCGCAGGATTCCTACAGACCTGGGACCTGCCTTGAGCACATTCTACAGCAAGGGCTGGAGATCATCATGTCTGTCTTTTCTCAGTTGGGACACTGTAGCAGCTGGATGCTCCAGGACTTAGTCCACAGAGAGGGGAGAGGCGTTCCCGTTCGTGAGCTCTTCACTCTGTTCTGGGTGCTGCAGGGGAGGGACTTACTTCACAGCATTACAAGCAAACCTCCTCATGAACATCAGGGGTTGACGAACTTGCCCACAGTCATTCAGCTGGGAGGAAAACAGAATAGGAGTTCAAATAAAGTCTGCATTTTTAGAAAAATGTTATTTATTTGCAAGCAGGAGGGAGGCAGGGGGACACATCTCCCATCTGGTTTACTGCACACATATCTGGGACCTGGAAACTCTATTTGGTCTCCCTGGTAGCTGGCAGGGACCCAACAACTTGAGCCATCATTACTGCCTCCTAGGAATGGCATTAGCAGGAAGCCAGAAATTGGGATCAGGGGTAGGACTCAAACCCAGATCTTCCGATACGGGATGCAGGCAACTTAACTACTGCACCAAATGCCCACCCCACAGCGATTTTGTTTAATCTGGGAATTGTTTACTCCATTCCAGGAGTATTTAACTGATAAAAGTTTAAGCACAGTTTGGGAGGGAGAAAGCAAGTGAGCTTGCAAGGCTGCTGTTGCTATCTTGACCAAGCTGAAAGGAGTAGCCATTAGACAGAAGATCTCAACGACACTCCCATCGGTCTCCCTTTCTGGGTTATGAAAATCACAGCTCCCTGACTAACCTCCCACAGAGGGAGTGGTTGTGATGAGAAATATCTGTGAAGTTTGTTAGATTTTCCCATCTCAGTAACAGTGTGCCTTGGGAAAAATTTTGGATCAATGTTTGCTTACAGGTAGAGTCCAAATTAGAAAAAGTTTTGTTTTGACCTATGCTTTCTTTTTTACTCATTGTTTATGAGACAAGGACAGATGGAGCTTCCAATTCCTTGTCTACTCCCCAGATACCCACAAAGGCCAAAATTCAGTCTGGAGCTGGGAACGTGAGTGGCAGAAACCCCATTACTTGACCATCAGGGCTGCCTCCAGGTTCTGCATTAGCAAGAAGCTGGGGACTCAAAACCAAGTTCAGCATCAACAACCAGTGCAGCCTGGGCTTCTCAGCTGCCAGGCTAAACGCCTTCCCCTGGGTTTTTGTTGTTGTTTCATTTTGTTTTGTTTGTTTGTTTTTAGAAATTCAATCTAGGAAATGTGGCAAGTTCACATAGAATTGTGGATTTCTAAACTCTCTTGAACTGTCCTGAAGCTCTAACAAGCATGGGCTTCTTCTCGGAATAGTCTCTGTTGCCCGGAGTTGCACAGGGGCTGTTCCCTGAGGAAAGGAGGCGGCAAAGTGCTTTCTAGCTTGCTCCTGTCCCCAGTACTCCCTGTTGCCCACGTGACGGCCAATGCCAGTCTTCCTGTAGCTACTCCCTCCTTCTCTGTCCTTTTGTTAGATTAGTGGTAGGAGGAAACTTAGCTTTTCCATCACAACTTCATTCCCTCTTCTTTTTTCTTCTATAGGTGTTCCTTTCCCAAAGAACTTCCTTCAGATCTGCAAGAAGATCCTTTGCCGCCTTTTCCGTGTCTTCGTCCATGTCTACATCCACCACTTCGACCGAGTCATTGTGATGGGTGCAGAGGCCCACGTCAACACCTGCTACAAACACTTCTATTACTTCGTCACAGAGATGAACCTCATAGACCGCAAGGAGCTGGAGCCCTTGGTAAGTGTTCCCAAGCAGCAGAGGCACCAAGGTCACCCCTAGCTCAGCCACATGTTGCAGGACACTGCCAGGCCCGTGGAATGGCCCGCTGTTACGGGGCACTACACAGCTGGATAGGGTTCAACAATGAGATAAAGGTCAGAAGTTGTCATAACGGGTACTGTCGTCACCAAGTGGAATTTCCTACATTTCTCTCTGAGCAGTGGCATAAGACAGAGGTGAAATAATCATTTGGGCCAGAGGGAGTAGCTTTCAATCTTAGCCTCAAAAATTCACTCATCTATTTATTTAATCCCTTAAATATGGATCTCCGATTTCACACATTGTCTCAGGCTGTTAATCAACAATGTTCAAAAATATTCCCTCAGTCAAAAAATAAATATTTGATTCCTACTATGTGTCAACTGTTACGCTTGTGGCCAAGTAAAACTGCCTCTGAATAGCTGTTACTCTACAGGTAGAATAGAGAAATTTATTGTAAGAACTTTGGCTTTCCTACCGGAATCTCTTGACATGCAGCTGTAGTGAGTAATTAGAAATAAGAATGTTTGAGACACAATGTAATGTTATATGGGACAGTGAGGTCAAAGCATTTGGTGGAGTTCCCTAAGATAAAGCGGATATAGCCTCACGTAGCATTGCAAATCACCTTCCCGGGCAACTGTATTGACTCATAGGAAAGTCACCCTAACTGAGGAAATAGTGCAGTTAACAAGTGTACTCTTTGAGTGCAGCCTGTGTTACACCCATGGACTGGTGCCCAGTGGTCAGCTCCCGCCTCACCTGCCTTCCCCGCTGCCTCCTTGCAGTGTGATAAATAAATCTAGCTCTGCTCACTCTGCTCTGGAGGATTTTTTCACCATCCATGGTGTCAGCCTCGGTGGGTCCATTCCTGGGACATGGTTGTTTATGTGAGTGGGGACTACTTTAATTTTGGTGTGTATTTTTTTTTTTGGCCGTTGTCAGTCATTTTACTTCATTTATTCTGATGAGTATATCCAATATTTCATTGTGGTTTTGATTTTTTGATTACCGATTATATTTAGCTACTTTTCTTACTTGTGTATTGTTTTATGATATAGTTCCATAGGCTCTAGGACTTCCCTTCAAACCTCTCTAAATCTCTTCCTTCACTGATTCCCCCCTATAAATTTTTTAAAATATATTTTCATTTTAAATTTTGAATTATGTCGTACAATTTCATGTAGGCTGGGATTTCCCCCCAAACCCTCACCCCCGACAGATTTTTTCCCATTTTACTACAATGGTGTAGTCCTTCATAAGGAATCATAATTCTATCAGTCTCTTGTTTAAGTATACCCTGACATTGTTGTACAGACAATATCAGACAGTCCAACATCCCATTGTCTACACATGTCCAACAGTTTCATTGGATTCTCCACTATATTATTGTAGTAGTACAGTCCTTCACAAACAGTCCTAAGTCCATCATCCTGCTATTTAAGTGTATCTTGACATTGTATGTATGGACAATGATGGAGAGTTCCACATCCTGTTGTCAAGATATATTTGACAGTTTCATTGGGAACCCAATTTTAATTTGAAAGTAGAAATGCATATTGCATTGCATCTTCACATCTGGATGTGATAGTCACTGTTACACAGTTACTACGCATCCCGTTAAATGAAAAGCCATAAAATGAAATTAACAAGTTGAAAAACAACAGGAAGTTGTTTACAAATTTACAACAACAGGAAGTTAAATAACATGCTACTGGAGGACCAATATACTGCTGAAGAAATGAAAAAATCAAAGCCTTCTTGAAGAAATCATTGTTACTTAATGACCTGAATCTGTGAAAAAATTTTAATAAGGAAAAAAAACTTTTCTAAGGAAATGAAACTAAAAACAAAAACTTCAAAACCCATGAGATGTAGCAAAAACAGTATAAGAGAGAATTTATATTTTTCCCTTTGGAATTGATTTATTTCACTGAGCATAATGGTCTCTAGTTGGGACCATTTGGTTGCAAAAGGTAGAATTTCATTCTTTTTAGTGGCTGGTTCCATGGAGTAGATGCACTGTAGTTTCTTTATCCACACCTCTTTTGACGGGCATCAGGTTTCGAACTCCTCTATCATTCACAATAGCTTGTGGAGGATTTGGTAAGTGCTTCTTGAAACATTTGGTAGAATTCTGCAGTGAAGCCTTCTGGTCCAGGGCTTTTTGTGGTTGGGAAGGATTTAATTATTGATTTGATCTCAGTCCTGGTTATAGGTCTACTTAGCTTATTAATTTGGTAGATTGTATGTGTCCAAAAATATGTCCATTTTTTAAGGTCTTCTGATTTGTTGGCATATAGTTGCTTGTAATAGTTCCTAATAATTCTATCGATGGCCAAGGTATCTGTTGTTATATTTCCTTCTTCATCTCTGATTCTATTGGTTCGTATCTTCTCCCTCACTTTTTGATTAGTTGGACTAATGGGGAATCTGTTTTGTTGACTTTCTCAAGGAACCAGCTCTTTGATTCAATGGAGAAAGAATTGAGAAACAAAATGTAGGAGGGCACAGAGCTCCCAATAAGGTTGACCGAAAGCAATTTTCACCACAACACATGTTAATCAAGCTCTCTTAAGTTGAAGACGATTAGGGCATTGGGGGGGGACACTGATTAGACTCACTGTTGACTTCTCAGAGGAAACTACAAGCCATAAGACAATGGAATGTCATATTACAGATTCTAAAAGGAAAAAATTGTCAGCCCAGAGTAACTTCCAGTAAAAATCTCCCTTGTCCTTATATTGTTCTTTTGATCTCTATTTGGTTTATTTTCTCCCTTGTTTTGGTTATTTCTTTTTTCCTGCTAATTTGAGATTGCTTTAATGTTTTTCTTGCTCATTTACTTGGTGCTTTCCTTTTTTTTTTTTTTTTAAGATTTATATATTTATATAGGAAAGTCAGATTTACAGAGAGGAGAGACAGAGAGAAAGGTGTTCCATCTGCTGGTTCACTTCCCAAGTGGCCACAATGGACGGAGCTAGGCCAATCCAAAGCCAGAAGCCAGAAGCTTCTTCCAGGTCTTCTACATGTGTGCAGAAGGCTTTGGACCATCCTCTATCCTTTTCCCAGGCCTCAAAACAGGGAGCTGGAAGGGACATAGAGCAAGCAGGACACAAATCAGCGCCCATATGGGATCCCAGTACATGCAAAGTGAGGACTTTAGCCACTAGGCTACCACACCGGGCCCCTGTAAATGTTCTTTTTAATTGGAATGTTTTTCATTTATTAAACCAGCTTCTGTCTGTGCCATGTGATGTTCCCATAGCTCTTACATTCAGCCTTTTAACAGTGTCCCTTAATGCTTGAATACTTTTTCTTAGCTTTGCTCAGTTCCTCTTCCAGCTTTTTTATTTTTCTCTCATTGTTGAAGGAAATGTCTCCCGACATTCTTTCTTCTGCCTTACTCATTCTATTCTTGAGGCTTTCCACTGAGCTTTTAATTTGCTCCATTGTGTCCTTGATTTCTAATAATTCGGCTTGATTTTGTTTCTGGGTTGCTATTTGCTGTGTAATATGTTCCTTCAATTCCTTAAACTCCTGTATGTGCTTCTCATGGTTGATAAGAAGCTTTACAACAAGGTTTGAAGTTCTTAATCCCCCATTTCCTCGATGTCTTCCTCAGTTAACTCTGAGACTGACAAGGCTTTTGCTCCTTTGCTGGGGAGGCATCAGTAATATTTGTTGTACCTCTGTCCCTTCTTTTGCTCTTGGTCATTGTACCTCTGGTTAGCAGATTCCTCTCCTTAGGCAGGTTTCTAAGCTGTATTGCCTACTGGTCTACAGGTCAGTTTTATTGATAGCATTTGGTACCCAGTTCTTTCTTTGCAGTCACTTGTGCCATTCCCTGCAACAAGTTCTGGTCCCAGGCACTTGTGCCTTAAGCTTACACCACTGTCTCTGTAACCCTAAATTCTGGCTCACCACTCTATCCCTTGTGATCCTGTGCTGTGGCCACATGGTTGCCTGCACAGCCTTTCTCCTACTGCTGATTTGAGCATTACCTGGGACTAAGGCGGTACCAACTGTCTTAAATCACCAGGTCTGGTGGTGCTAGTCTTGCCATAACTTGCTGGCCATTAGATCTGAGGCCACCTAGACCAATTTTGGGTGGAACCCATAGGATGCTAAGTTGTTACTGTTTTTCCTGTGGGACCAGTGTAATGCACTGAGTTGGAAGTGAGTTTGCTCCATGTTTAGCGCTTGCACAGTTCCCTGTTGTTCCTCCAGTCCCACAGCTTTTGCATCAGTACACAAAGTGGCCCCCAACATGACACTGATGGGGTTCTGTGTCTGTTGGCCACCAAGTCTGGGGCCCACTCAGACACATTTTGGGTGGATGCTTTGGGATGCCAAGTCGGCACTGTTTTCCCTGTGGGATGAGTGCAATACACTGAGCCATAAGTGAGCTCACTCCCAGCTTCACTCATGCACAGCTTACTGTTGTCCCTCAGTCCTACAGCCTTTCCCCACTATACAAAATGTTATCTGATGTGGCACTGGTGGGCATCCCGGCTGTGAAATCCACCCTGTTCTCGTACAGCCCACCTGGGGTCTGCCACTTTGTCTCTGCTTGTAGTTGGGTCAAACATATCATCAGTTCTATGCCTGGGTTCTTCTCCTGAGCTACCGGTGAACTCCCCCTTCCCGCCTGGCTGCCGGTTAAGTTCTGGCTGCCTGGGGAACCCCGATCACCACTTGTTGGCCACTGCTGGGGTGTCTGGTCACTGCAACACTGCTCTGTTATCTCTACCACTTACCCAGGTGTGAGTCTCCAAGTGACCCTCTGCTGATGGCCCGTCCTCGCCTAGCTCCTGGAATGTGCCCTCTCTGCTCTACTCTAGCTGATGATTCTCCATCAATTTAAACTTGTCTTTTCCCTATACCACTTACAGCTCAAGTCTGACTATAGTAATGACCAGAATGCTGGGATGGAACCAGACCATCATTCCCTGCCACCCCATATGACTTTATCCTTAAGGCCAGAATTTACAATACAGCTTTTGTATTTGTTTAGGCTCATTGAGGCCAATAGATGAGAACATGGTCTATCATTTTCCCTGCAGGCAGGCTGCCCACCTGCCTCTGTCTCTCTTTTGCCCTTGGTCTTTGCTGTTTTGCTCAGCAGGTTGTTCTCCTTAGGGCAGGTTTCTAAGCTGTGTCACCCACTGGTGTACAGGTCAGTTTTACTGATTGTGTTTCTTTGCCATCACTTTTGCCACTCCCTCCAGCAAATTTCAGTCCCGGGCTCTTGTGCTAGGCTTCCACCAGTCTCCGTAGCCCTAGGATTGTTACTCTCACACACGCTGGGAGAAAGTCGGCAGGAAGTGGAGGGAGTGGGGGAAACATGGGCAGGGAACAGTCAAGCAGGTCACACCAGCTTAAGGTATACTGACTTGAGTGATTGCAGTGGCCTGAGTGTGTCAAGGCTGTCTTCAGCCTGGGGTGCTTAGTGCGAGAGCCTGCAGGAGGAGGTGTTTATCTTGTTAGACTGGTTGTTTTCTCTTGGTTGGTGTGTGAATAGCTGGAGGTCATTAATTTACTAACTCCATGTATTGGCAAGCCCTGGGAGAGGCAGTTTTTCCATGGCTCTAAATGTTAAAAAATCAAAATGCAAAAAAATAAAAGGCATGTGTGATATAGTACCTGTATGTGGAAGAGAATATAGGTGAATTCTGGGTATCACCTTTAATCTTTCTTAACTTGCAGCTTGTGATTGTGCTATGAGAGTATGCAGCAAAAATAAATAAATAATTGCATCCTTCAACAATTCTGAAATAAAGCTAGTATTTTTGGGAACAGTTAAGAATTCTCATATCACTGGCTAAAGAAAAGCTTTTCTTCATTTTCTTTGACAATAGCTTTGTAGAAAGCTCTTGGGGACAGGCACTGAATTGTCTCAAAATGTGATTGGGCAGCCAGTGTCAATAGAAGCTCAGAGGGGCACTGATGGTGGTCGAGATTTGCTGGCTTGTTTTTTCTAGAATTTGTTGTGGATAAACAGCCATGACAAGAAGGCAAAGGTCATGTGAACAATTCAAAAAGTTTAAAAGATTGAAAAGACTTGATAAAGCTAATTTTTCAAAAATTGTCAAATACAAAAGCACCCATGAATCCAGGCCTTGAAAATGGAGAAAGCACAGTGTTCTTGCAGATCTGGTCCTGCTTTAAGGCTGTAGGCAAGCCTCTCAGTGGGCTTGCTTAACTTGAGGAAAATTGCCTTCCCCATCAGCTCGCCTGGAGGAAGAAGTCTCCTAAGCATGTGGACATTGGGCTTCTCTGAGCTAAACGGACAGAAACAGACAGAGCTGAAAGTCGGTTTCTCCTTCATGCACACAGCATAAAGGATAAAGCATTGTCAGATAAAGCTGAGTGTCAGCAAGCGGAAAAAGCCTTTCTTTGCCACCAGAAAGTTCTGTCATCTTCTGTAACTGACAAAGGACTCCTGCACTGTAAACCTGGCAGTGCCAGGAGTTGCCTTGAAGTCTCAGAGTCACAAAGAAGTTCCGAACAAGCAATATTCCAGATAAGAGTTCCTTTGGATTACTGGAAGGGGTGGGGAGGAGTGGGATTAGATTAATAGAAGAGTCCCAACAGAACAGAAAAGGTATTTTTGAAGCTTCTATCTTGTTTGAAATAACATTCTTTCTACATTTATGTTTTGCTAATTGTAATTGCACATAAATTAATTTTTCAAAAGGTTTATTTATTTTTATTTAAAAAGTAGAGAGGCAGAAAGGGGGAAAACAGTGGGAGAGGCAGAAATGTTTCATCCTCTACTTTGCTCTGGAAAAACCTCCATGACTGGAGCTGGACCAGGCTGAAGTCAGGAGCCAAGAGAGTCTTCTGCGTCTCCCACATGGGTGGCAGGGGCCCAAATCCTTGAGCCATCTTTTGCTACTTTCTCAGGTACATTAGCAGGGAGCTAGACAGGAAGTGGAGCAGCTGGAACATGAACCGGCATTCATACAGAATGTCAACATCCCATACAGCAATTTAACCTACTATATCACAATGTTTGGCCCAAGGAAATTAATTTCAATAAAGCATTTGTTTATTTAGTGCTTGCTTATCTCACATTTATATTTGTTCTCCATAAATGAAAACTTAAAAATAATATAATTGAATATTTAGAAAGTTTCTGAGGATAGTAACTCTGCAGTATCAGACTCCAGTCACCTAGTATTTCCTGTGCCCACTGAGAGAGCTGTACTTGTGGCTTGTATAGCTGAAATGAGAGCTTTTGTAGCTCCTTTTGCCTGAATACCCAGCTTCGAACTTTCTATCACAAGGTACATATTAAAGTCAGGTGTAGCATGTGAAGGAACACCTTTTTGATCCACCTATGTCAAGTACCATATATATCCAAAACATGTTGCTCAGGTGTTTTACGCTCGTTTCAAAAAAGAAAAAAAAAGCTCTCAAAAAATGTACAATGTAATCTGAAAGATATCATAAATGTGACTCATCTTTATCCCTGAGGGATGATGCAGAAGTCAGGCATTTGGTTTCACATTCTCGTTGCACATGGTTTAGACTCAAGTGCAGCTAGGGGCCAGAGGGCAGCATGTGTCAAACTAGTTTCCTTTAGGACATCAGCATTCCCAGAGTTCCCACACTTCGAGTGGGACATTCCTGCTGTCATGCTTTGGGAGTGAACCGTGTAGAACACAGAGACCCCATTTTTATTTATCCACCTGTCATGTTCCCATCAGACACTGCTGTCATTGCTTCCCCTCTTTGGTCCCTGGGCCCACCTGCTTGCTTTCGTGTGATGCTGGCTGAGCATCCAGTTCATGTTTGTGTTAAGAGTAGGAACTAACTCCAAGGGAAGGAGCTTTGGTATCATACAGTGCATAATCAAAGCCCAGACTCTCAGGATTCTAACCCTAGCAAGAGACTTGGCTTTGGAAAGCCTCCTTTTCCTCATTCATAGACTGGTGGTAATAATGGAGGAAGTTAAATGACTCGGTCATATGGCAATAGTTCATGGAATCTTGGCTGTTAAATGAGATGACCAAAATTACTGTCATACTGTAAGTAGAAGTACCCCAATTCTCCTTTCTGCTTCCCACAGCCTCTTGCCAACTTAGTGATCTAAGTAGCCTTTTGCGCATGGAGTTACTTATATTGATATCAGACTCTCCCATGAAATTGTCAACTCCTTGAAGGCTGTGATGGTATGTGCTTAGAAGCCCATGGTACTTAGTACATAACAAATGCTTAATGTGTTTTTGAATTGGGAGGATTATTTTGATGTTTCTTATTCCCAGGGATAACACACCAGCCATTCCTGCCTTGATCCCATCTTTGTCTCAGGATGTACCTGCAGGCCTTTGTTTGTCTCTTTCTATGTAAGTCATGCTTCATTCTCTCTGACCAGCAATAGAGATGAAAAGAACAAAAGAGATCAAGTACAGTGAAGGATGACCATAAGCATTAGGCCTACCAAAGATGAAGCTTCAACTCTTGAGTCATTCTCTATTCCGGACTCCAAGTGGATTGCCTAGGAAACATGGCATTGTGTTACATGTTGTGTCCTGCTGCAGCAGGTAGAGTTACCAGCACTCCCAAATTTGGCACTGAAACCCTTGCAAGCTGAGAAAATCCTTGGTCTGGAGGAAACTGGATGATTGATCCTCCTGTGAGGCCTGTAAGTGGGAATGCAGTTAGGAATTCACAAGTTGAGAAGAGGTCACTGTGACTAGCGCTGTGACAACCAGCATGTCTGTCCACCCCCAGGCCTGGCCTTGTGGTTCCCACTGGGACCTGCTGCTCAGCCACAGCCCACAGCCTGGGAGCCCAGAGGAAACTAAACCATTTCCCTTGCTCTCCAAGAAGGAGGGGGAGGCTGGCACACTGACAGTCACAGACGTGACAGTTCAGCCATTTCTCATGTAAATATAACAGCTGAAGATGACTTGAACTCAAACAAGTTCACAGTTGGAGGAAAGGAACCCAAATGATGCTGGTAATTAACAAATAGACCAGGCCCTGATTAAACAAGCTGGCTGCTGTTGGCCCAGGGCTGCCTGAGAGTCAGCTGACAGATTGTAGCTGATCAGAATTATGGGTAGCAAGCACAGTGAGCCAGCCCTGTTTTGTGGGCCTTTCACTAAAACAAAAGCAGATTCAGAGAGGACTGTTAGCAACTCAGTAGCTGTGAATGAAGTGTTGATTAGGGCTGGAGAAGAAAAGAACCTGGTAATATGGGGAGGACTGACAGGAGGGTGCTTGTTCACCCAAATGCACCTGCTGACCACTGAGTACCATTGTTCAGGGCCCCTTCCAAGTCTCTCTCCAGGGCTCTCATTTTATTGTTATACCACGTTGGTTTGAAACCAAGCTTGTGCACACACTTGCACTTCACAATATCATGGAGGTAATATCCTAAAATGTGCCTCCCTGCAGATACATGGAAGTAGAATTATTGAGATTTCACAGTACCAAGCTCTTCAATCTCCATCTCAGATTTTAATGCACCTACCACTCACCTGGTGGTCTTGCTAAAATGCAAGTTCTAATTCTGTTCAGCTGAAAGGATTGGTGCTCCAGATGTTATCAGTCCTGCAGGTTCCAGTACAACCCCCAAAGTGCCAGTTCTCCTGAAGGTTGAGCATGGCTATTTTGAGTACCTACTTTAGGCTCCTCCAAGGACTGGGAGCTAGCTCAGTGGAGTAGGATAAGTAAAGCAAAGGAGGACAATCCAAGGAGCCCTGTTGCCAAGAATGTGCCTCCAAGGGAGCTGTCCTCTGTAGTAATACACAGTGGAAACAGACTTCCTTGCTTGGCCAATTGAGTTTACAAGATAAATCCTTGAGGACCCACAATGTCCAAGTGCAGCTGTCAGGAGAAGCATTTCAGCAAAGAAATGGATTTGACATTGTGCAGCCCACCCGATTTAGCTGCATTTAGCTCAAGGACATTCTTTTCCTTGGTTATCACTCCTCATCAACCTTCAAGAGATGGGGATCCATGGAACTTGCTTTGGGCTACACTGCATATCTTTGTGATGCATCTCTAGAATTTGCAGTGGTTTTCTTCCTGCCTCTTTCATCACTGCTGCATGGTGTGAGGAAGAGAGAAAGTTGGGAGGGAAGTGAAACTCCTGGGAGAGGGCCTTGCAGGAAGCAATCCCACACCTTCTGCTCTGCATTTCAGGTTCCCATCACTGTGGGACACCCATCGTTCGGAGGCTTTAGCACCTGTGCAGCACACAATTTCAGCCATAAGCAATGGTTCCAGCTATTTCTTTTATATATATTAATTACATTTCATTTTGTGACACAGTTTCATAGGCTTTGGGGATCCCCCAACCCCCACATACCCTTCCCCCATGATATATTCCTCCACCTTTTTGCTGTATTACATTTCAAATTCAGTCAAGATTCTTTCATTGCAAGAGTATACCAAGCATAGAGTCCATCATCTTATTGTCCAGGTAAATTCAACAGTTTCTTGGAGAGACCGTCTCTGGTCTGAAGGCATGCTGTCCACTGCACTATGCTGTCCACTGCATAGACATCAGCTTAGACCCAGTCCCAATGCATGCACTCCAAAGTTGGATCACATATATTGTGATTTTCCTTGTGGCTTGATTTGCCTTCAGTCAAGCCATCTAGTTGGGAAATTCCCCATGAAACCTTACCTCGGACTTGACTCTTGCTTGTGCCAGCCAGTGCAGGGTAGATTCGGTCTGTCACCTTCAGCTGCCAATGCACATACTG